TTGACTTAAATCATCTTTGTTCCTAACTCCTGCTGGGCTAGGATAAAGAAAGACCTTGTTAATGTCAACAGAGTACTTAATAAGGTCAACTGTGTAACAGTGTCAATAAAATTTTAAAAGTACAATTTGTCACAGATAATGGCAATATGGATAATCTGTCTGAGAATGCCCTAAAGTTGGTAATTATTATACCCCATAGCTCTATGAATTGTGATTAAATAGATAGATAGATGTTTGTATAGTTTCCAAAGCCTGTAAGTTAAAATCAATAAAAGGTTCTAGCATTTTCCCAGTAATTTTATGAAGATTTTTATGTTTAAGTGTTTCCCTTTCTCTGTCACTTAGGTAAAACAAAACAAAAAATATTTCTTTTTGTAATGCTATGTCTTATGCCAATAAAATTTGAAAATATTTAAATCGTATTCACTTGCTATATTTTAATTATTTTATTTTGGACCGTTAAGTGTTAGAAATAAACCCTAGGCATATACAGATGAGCTTTGCCTTTTGAAAGTTTATCATCTGTTTTGTAATATTTTACCCTCTGTACCATACCACCTCAGAATGAAGACAACAACATTTGATGACTGCAGAATGTAGATGATTATTCTAGAAATATAATATACTATTATAGTAATGGAAGGATCCTAATGTAGAAAACTGATAACGATTCATTGTAGTATATAATTATACATGGCATAAACATACATGGCGTGCATGGCATGACTGGATACTGCATCACATGCACAAAACTGGTGGTTTTTAACTATATATGCTTATTATTCATTCAATAGGCTATATATGTATCTCATTGAAAACTTATGATACCACTGAATGAAAATGCAAATACAGAAATCGACTGTATTTACTAATTAAACATCAGAATTGTGGCCCTAGCATATGTATTACTAATGGAGGAAATTCACTGATTTTCTGTGACTTTAAAATTTTAATTCTCATGGAAGCTATATTTGTAACAATAGTTATGGCAGACCATTTTGAAACATAGCCATCATAAAGACACTAAGCAACAGAGAAACTCTGGATAACGGACTTTGTGATAGTCAATTCAAAGGCATTTGTTTTCTTTTTAGTAGGAGGATAAATCATATTAAGCAAGACCAGATTTGTGCAATATAATGTGGTAGAACGAATCCAAGGCTAAAGGTCAGGAGAACTGAGTTCTAGTTGTATCATTGGGGCTTATTAGTTATGTGATATTGGGCAAATCATCCAGTCTTTCCAGGTTTTTTTTCTTTACTATTAAGTAACATATTGGACCAGAGTATTTTATGTTTTGTCTAGCTTTAAAATCTCTTATTTTCTTTCTCTGGAGTTAAATATTTTTTATTGGAAAGTAGATTGATTTTGCATTATAAGAGGACAATATAGTATACTTCTCTTAAAGATTTAAATACTTGGAAGCTGAGCATATGAATTTTGAAATTTTTATTTTTCAGCAATGAGCTTTGTAGTTCTTTGAAGCTAACATTTCAGAGATTAGGCCAGATGTCTTTTTTTGTTTAAAATCTCCAGTGTCATGCTATTCAGTCAACCTTTCTCCCATGTTCTATATTCTTGCTATCCAATATGATAGCTACTAGCCTCTTGAGGCTATTGAGCACTTAAACAATGGCTAGTGAAACTGAGCAACTGAATTTTTAATTTTATTTAATTGTAATTAAACTTAAACTGTTATAAATGGCTCCCATATTGAATAGCACAGTACTCTAGTGTGTGTGTCTACATGTGTTCACATGCACATACATGCTGAGTATGGAGTGGGGTAGCAGGAAGTAAAGGAGAAGAGTGGCAGACCATTATTTTGGATGATGAGATGCCATTTATACTTTACTGCTCAGGACGTCCATGAAGTGGAATTTAACCCACTCCATTAACTGTTTTCTACTTTTGCTTTTTTAAATTTTTTGCATTACATTATATGTTATGGTAACCACTATGTACTCTAGACAACATACTATTTATATTATTGTATCTTTTTCTAATTAGCCTATAGTTTTTTTTTTGTTTCTTTGTTGTTTTTTTTTTTTTTTTTTTTTTTTTTTTTTGGAGACGGAGTCTTGCTCTGTTGCCAGGCTGGAGTGCAGTGGTGTGATCTCAGCTCACTGCAACCTCCGCCTCCTGGGTTCAAGTGATTGACCAGGATGGTCTCAATCTCCTGACCTCATGATCCACCCACCTCAGCCTCCCAAAATGCAGGGATGAGCCACTGCACCCAACCTAACCTATAGTTTTAAAGCTACATACCCCCACTATATTATGCATGTTGCACCAGTAAAATTTTATCATTTTACCCATTCTCAAAATCTTTTGTTGTGAGAATCTATGCCTGGAGTTTATGAGACCTTTGTAATGTGCTGGAAATTATATTTGTAGGAAAGTGATATCATTTCTAATCATGAGTTTCCTCCTTGCTGTGTGGCCTTTTATAAGTTATTCTACCTGCTTTGAGCCTCAGCTTCATCATCTGTAAAATAAGGATAACAGTAATACTAACTTTGTGTGATTTTTATGAAGATGAGATTCGATGGTGAATTATGTAAAGAACTTAATATTGTCTGGTAACTAATAATAATGATGATGATAATACTTTGCAATATTGTATTTAGCTATGCATTCAGGATGCACACAATGGGTTTGTTATGTTTATAATTAAGTAATAATATAGCCTGCCCTTTTATTTAAATTTAATTTTGTATTTGTAAATAGTGACAATTATTTCAGTTTTGGATTTGAGATATTGTTCTTATTCTCTGAAAAGGGCAGCATTTGTGTAAAGGCATAAAGGAATAGCAAAAATTTAGATGACCTTTTTGTTTTCCACATTCATATTACAATATACATACTTCTATAAAATAGTATAACTTCATCAGCTTATGTTGGAAAATGACATGATAGCATGCCTATTCATCTTATGTTGTTTGTAATTAATTAAATATCTATTAGAATATGATATACAATGGTACATTGCTAAGCCAGTGCCTTTACCTTTTTAAAATTTACTTTACATTATCTCCCAATTATTATATACTATAGTCAATGGATGGAACTTGTTTTCATATTAAACTATATATTCATAAATTATATATAAAGTATTTAATGTCATTGAAACATATTATTAAAGTTATATTGACACATTCATTAATTTTATTGACTTATTATCTTTATTGTCTGCTGATCTAAATACTTTTATTTGTATAAAGATACAGTTGCAGGACTCATTAACTTGTTTCTTACAGAAATGTTCTCTTTACTTGTAGGGTATTAATACAAGCCATTAAGCTAGAATTTCTTCTGGCAAAAACAATCCTAACAGATGGCAGCTTTTCTCTCTATTAATTTTGGATTGGACATGTACTTTGGCTTGTTTGGTCATGTCATAGTTGTAACATAACAAGAGCCATTCAAGCAAAAACAATTATAATATAGCTGTGGACATATACAGTATGCAAATTTACAGCCCAGTATCAAAACTATATAAATATTTACATGATTTCCTATTGTAAATAGGAAGTTTAAGTAATCCATTAAAGCATAAGCTTCATAATGACTTGTCTGGTATGTCTTTAAAGGTAATGTCAAATTTATGGCAAATATTTAGTCAGTTGTCTAAGTGTTTTATCTTGACGCTTCAACATTCATAGAAATTTGACTATATTGTTGTATGATTCAGATATCTGGTCATGTTAGAAACAACCTTAATCAGCCCTCTTAAAGCATGTAACTTTTGATTTTTGAACGTAAATGTGAGGCAGATGGGCTAATCTCCCAAAAAAGCAACTTAAATATGTAAGATACAGATTCAAAATTAAAGCATACCTTTTAATCTCTTCTCCCTATTTTGGAAAAAATAACTGTATCATAATAAATCTGTAGAAGTCAAGTCAAAATATTTTTGAAATACTGTCTTTTGGTAATATATTTTTCCCATGCTAACTATTAATTTATTTGTATCTGTGTCTATATATACTTAGTATCTTTGTATACTCTGTATTTTCTGAGGAGACTTCTTGTAGTTTGCACTATGAATACTCTTCTACTCATTGCAGTCTTCAAAAATAATAAATTTAAATGACATCTTTTCAGTTAAAGGATTAGCCAGTTACCTTAGATTTGAGCAGCATTTTCCAAAAATGCTATTTAGAAATAATTTATGGAATACCTGACACTTAGCATTTTGTTGATTCCCTTTTAGATTAAAATTGCCAGAAAATAAGTTCCTTTTTATAATAGGGAATATGAAAATCAGAAGATAAGAAAAGTATAACTCATTTTTTAGTATCAATATATTTAATCAAATACTTTACTTGAAAACAAGCCCTTACATATGCTTTATTTTGAAATGTGCATTAGTATTAGTGTCACAGTGCCTTCTAGTTGATCTTAATTCACTTCCATTATCTTTTTTTTCATACCTGGTAAGTTTATTCATCTTAATTACATATTTTAATACTTTATATATTTTGTACAAATAATCCCATTAAGAGGATGGAGAGAGTATAAATTAATGTAATAATTTAAGTTATCACCATTCCCTGTTTAATATTAAGGTACTTTTATAATTTTATTCAATGTATTTTAGAAGTGTTTATAACCCTCTTGAAGTGAGGCCAAGTGTACTCTGAGGACAACTGGACATGAAAGATACATTTTGTGATCTTTTCAAAGGGCTCTGTCTGCCCACTTTTGCAATTTGGGTTTTTCAGAGGGAGTTTAATATTTCTTCATATTATTTTAAAAAGCATAACCTACTTGGTCATTACATCGTTGTTAGAATTATTTTGAACATTATATACTATGTTGTTAATTTTGTTATTTCTAATTAAAGTCATAATCATTATACTCGTAGAAATATTTACATTTCTTATTTTTATCATTCTTTGTGTATGCCTTTAGTGAATGCACTATCTTCATGAATTATTTTATTAATTTATTTAAGGTGGATTTTTTTTAAAACAAAATTTGCTTTCTGATTGCAGGTGGCCTGCATGCAGTTTATAAATGCCCTCGTCACTTCTCCTTATGAGCTTGATTTTCGAATACATTTAAGGAATGAATTCCTCCGTTCAGGACTAAAAACAATGTTACCAGTAAGTTGAATGTATACATTTGTTACGCTGATGAATTTAAATTTTTTTCACTTCGACAAAAGCACTTGAAGCAGAGTAAATAAATGTGCTTTGCTATTTTGTTTTGTAAAGCATGAGACATTTTGTAAGCTTTTTTGTATTCCAGTAACAGCATTCTCTACATACAAATGATGATTCAGAATTCAGCTAATAATGTGCCCAGAAGTGATGTGTTTTTGTTTTTTGTTGTTTTCTTAAGTCAAAAGGAAACTTCTTTTCTTTGAAGTTTGAATATTGAAAACATGAGACTTGTTTTTGCAGTTTCAATTTAATTTAAAATTTTCTGCTTTCATCTTTGATAACTTAGATTGATTTAATTGGTATTCAGCATAAGCGTGCATAGAGCTCTGATTAGTATATGCTAGACACATTGCTTAAGAATGTTACTCTCATTACAGGGCTGTAGGAACTTTCCAAATCAAAAACAATTTTTTTTCTTAAATTGAATGTGAATATTTGCTCTAATTATGATAGTGTTAAAAACATTTTTGGAATGGCTTTATATGCTGAATCTGAACTAAATAAGCACCTTTATTTTTGTAGAAACAAATACAACTACTGTGGTTTTATATTTTATTAAGTATGTTAACTGAGGAGTGACTTTATTGAAGACTATGGCATTGTTCAAGACAAGTAAAATTATGCTAGTGTCTTTAAGCTACTCAGAATATACCTATGAGGTAAGAAGTAAAAGTAAGGAAGTGGGGAAAAAGCACTGAGGAGAGATTTAAAAAAACAAGAATAAATGTCAATGAGTGTGTACGTGTGTGTGTGCAAACCTGTGCATGTGTATGACCTAGTTTACCAGAAATACCCAAATTGAGGACATTTCCTGGTGAGGAACCAGTATGCAGTATAAATTTGTAATGTGTGGTGGGATAGTTTTAACTGAAAGTAATTGAAACTCATCATAATAAGTTGTGTGATTGGACCTGTTAAACCCATTGTAATAAGATATATGATTGGGTCTACCTGGTTTTTGGAAATTTCTATGTCTATCCTATTTGAAGTGGTTCTTTCATTCTTGACACTTAAAACCAAGGAATTGGATGCAGTGAATCAAAGCAACATTTTAAGTGACCCATTTAGAGATTTAGTGTGCAGTTAACTTAGGCACATTTACCAAATATAGTTTGTGTGACATATGATTATTCTTGTTTTTTTTTCACTAATTATATTTTCTTCCAAAGTCTGTAGCCTTAGGTCGCTAAAGATAATCTTATAGTCTTGATTGTAGTTTGCTTTCGAATTGCCTTCTTGTTGGTTTCCATGCTTGTTCTTACTGGGCTGGTTCTCTGTTTATAGGAATATTTTTGAAGACTTGCTGGCTGCAAGGGCTCTGTAGCATCCTCCGCTCAATTACTAATATGCCATGTTTTCTGCCATAGTTGTTGCTCTTACTTTTCTCTCTTTCATTTCCCTCTATTTATAATTGAACATTCACTTTCTGCTTTATACTACTGAATGGCTAGTCAAGAGAACTGTGACTCTCATTTTAATTTATTTTAGTCCCTCATTTTTCAGAAAAGATATGATATTGTAGCTCGTGTCCTTAAACTTTTGAACTTTTGTCTGGGTATATTAATCTCTGTTGGGCTCAGTGGTCTCATGTTATTCATTTGGTTACACAGATAGCTAAGATTATGTGCCAGTGTTTCTAAGCTACACTTTTCCGTTGGCCCTATTGCCCTATATAAAACTTTTTGTGGCACCATGTACTTCTTAATTTATGTATTCTTTTTTTAAATTAAAAATAATTTTTAATTATGGATACATAATGTACATATTTTTGTGGCAAAATTGAAGATACAAAACATTGTGTAATGATGGTTCAAATCAAGGATACTCTATCCAAAGCTTTACTCCTTTGTTTATCTATTCTAATTCTCCTCGATAGTTTTTTTGGGCATAATAACGCATTACTAATATAGTACTTCAGCTAAAGATATACGAAAAGTCACCTCTTGTGCTATTTGGCGAATCTTTAGACCATCAGTATTTTGACCCTAGTCAACTACCCCTGTTTTCCCCCAGCATACCTGAAGAGTGGAAGGGAATTTAATAATAGATCGATGTATCTAGCAACATCTCTTTGTTATAGCAACAAGAAGTGGGGAGGAGGAAAACTCAAAGAACAATAAAAGTGAAGATAAAGTTTTGGAAAGAAGAACTACAAGGAAGGAAGTCAAAAAAATTTTTTAAAAGAGAGCAGATATGAAAAAAAGGGGAGGAAAGGGGGGAGATTTGGAAGAAAGAGAGAAAAAGGGATAGATCAAAGTAGGGAAGGCTAGATGCGAAAAGAAGGAGAAATGGAAAGGGGAACAAAAAGAAATTCTTCCCAGGTTTCTTTCCATTGTTTCTTTTTCTTTTTTTCTTTCTTTCTTTTTTTTTTTTTTTTTATTTTTGATAAAGGCTCTTGCTCTGTCACTCAGGCTAGAGTGCAGTGACACTATCACAGATCACTGCAGCCTCAATCTCCTGGCCTCAAGCAGCCTTTCAAGTAGCTGTGACTACACATGTGCCACCACCCCCAGCTATTCTTTTTATTTTTTATAGAGGCAGGGTTTCACCATGTTGGCCAGGCTGGACTTGAACTCCTTGCCTCAAATGATCCACCCCAATCTCCCAAAGTGCTGGGATTACAGGTGTGAGCCACCACACCTGGCCAGGCATTTCTCATATGGAAGAGTAGAATCAGAATTCAGGCAGATAGGCCTTGAGAAGATTAGAGATAATTTCTTTAGAATCATAGATTTCGCTACTGTTGTAGTTTATCACAACTTGGGAGGAGGACAGAATGGTCATGGGTTAACGTATACTGGATACCTCACATGTCAATTAGTATCTAATTAACCTACTAATTGATTATTTAAATTTAAACCACTGGAATTTATAGTAACATTGCATATCCTTTATATATGCAGTAAAGCTTAATAATATGGTCATAGATGAGCCTTTTAAATCCTTACATTTTTCTCTATTCTTTTTTTTATATACAATTCTATCAAGAATTCCCTAATATTCTAGAATATAGTATATTCAAAGCAAAAAATTAGATGTGGTTAGGGTTAATATTAATTGTTGGAACATGGATGAAAAATTTTGTATATGTAGAATCATTCTGTGTTGGGGAAAACTAGTTCTTAGTATTTCAGTAATCCTTGAGATCAACATTATAGTAGAGTGAAACTTTTTTCATAATAATTATTGAAATCTTCAAGACAACATAATTATCTTAATTTTATTCTGTGAAAGTTTATTTTCAAGATTTCTCCCATCCCTATGGTTAAATTTTGATGTTTGAAAAGAGTTTGTATTTCATTTATATGGAAATTTTATGTCTGATAAATTTGCTTTAGTAATTTAGAATAAATGAGTTGTTACAAACTCTCCAGTGAGTTTTAAAATATTATTTTTTCTATACTTAATTTGCATTGATTTCTTGTGAAGTTTTCCCCATCTGCCTTTTAATTAGTTAAATTATTAAGAAAATATTAGTTAAATCAGATATGTGAAGAAAAAGCATAATAGGAAATGGTTTTTGTAGGCAGTAGGCATACTTTTATCTCTTTAAAAGTAAGAGAAACTCTTTCTTATTGTTTTGAAGACTCCATTGTGATTGTTTGACTGTTAATCAGTAGTGTACTGGCAATGGACTTTGATTTCCTTTGAAGTATACTATTTTCTAAAAAATTATATATTTCAGGGATTCTGCAAAAAATAGGTTTAAATCTATACAGCATGTCTTTTTAAAAAATAACTTCAGCATATTTAGAGTATTTCACATAACTAATAACTATATTTCAGTAACTTTGTGATAGTTCACATTTTAATATATAAAACTTCGGTGATAGATTTCCATTTACTTTTATAGCATAGCCATCTTATTTGTACTATGTAAAATTTTTATTCAGTAAATGTTTATTTTATCATGAATTTATGAATATTTGAGACTTGAGATTTGGCTGTAAATAAGTTTTATAAATGTAAACATATGTGTATGTGTATATGAATATATATTTACAGTAAGTTCTCACTTAATGTGATTGATAGGATCTTGCAAACTGTACCTGAAAGCAAAACCATGTACAGGAGATCCTTGAATAACGTCCTTTCATTATAATATTGATAAGAAAAAGAAAACTGGTTTTGTTATACTTTTTTGCTTCAAGTTGCGGTTTCCAAGAGCTACAGAGGATATTCAATGAGGACTGACTTTGATAGGCCTGGAGCATTATTAATAAAGAATATTTATAAAATATTGCATTTATAAAGTCTAAATTTTATATTGTGCTATATATGCTCATGTACTATGTATATTGTATAAATAATATCCGGACCTAATTAAGGACTAAACTGCACATTTAACCAGTTATTTTCACTGAAAATATTTTAATCATGCTGACTGATTTTCATGTTTTATAACATTCTATGCTAACTAAATGGCAGTACTTAAATTTTTCTGTTTTTCTGACATAGTTGAAAGTATTTAATTTTTATGATGAATTTCTGAGAGAGAATATTATGGTGACAAGAATGAGAAAAAAATTATACTCTAAAATGAGAAAAAGTTGTTTCTGCAGTGACCAGTATATTGGGTTTATCTGGCTTATATAGTTTTCTAAATAGAGTTCAGAAATCACCTGATAATATGACCCAGCAATGTTAGATAATTTTGCATTCTAATAAATTTCTTCAGTCCATTTCAAACTGGAAAACTAGAGCTAAAGCAAGTTATTTCTAAAAAGGAAACAAAATATAAATACATTTACTTGTTATGTTTTATATGAAATTATCTAGAAACAATAATTATTTTCATATGCTCTGCAGGTAAATTTTCAATAAATTATTATGTATGTGAATGTTAGAAAAAAAGCATCTAGAAATAGCTGAAATTTGTTTGGCTTCAGTAATAGCCATTACATCTCTATAATAGTTCTATTGAATAAAGATAGAAACAAGAAATGTGTCCCATTTTGTTTTATCGACCTAATTTGAAGTCCACCATGCTTGCATTTCCTTTTAGAGTTCAAGCTCAGCTCTGAACATCCTAGTCTCACTTTCGGTATCACCCTTGAACATCCACAGTTGTGATTATCGATTTGGGTTTTGAAAGCTGCAACTTAATGGACACATATTAAAAGATATTCCAGGTGATATATATTGAGCCCAACAATCTCTAGTGTGGCATGCTTCTAAATTTTTTATACTATTATTATGAAAATTATCAGAGATTTGTAATGCATGTGCTTATAATGTATTACAAAAACATAACTTTTATTCCCAAGTTGGTATTTTGTGATTAGGCTAAGCAAAAATATAAGGTGGGGGAGGAGGTAGATGTACAGCTTGATAAAAAGTCCTGACGCCTTTTTGCTTTAAAATCACAAAATATCATTTAAAATAAATGTGTTTATACATCTTTTCACGCCATACTTGGGACTGTTGTGCTTGAATATATCCTTGCATTTGTTCTTCATTAATACAATTGATCTGTATTTGCATTTTTTGCCAGAGGCATATGTGAATGTTCTGACTGCATGAGTTCTTTTGCAATCTTTGATTAGTGTGTTTAGTCAAAACGACAACATTTAATTTGGGTTGTTAGCAATTAGTTTTTTTCTGTTTTAGAACTGATGGTTAATTTTTTAATGTGAATAATCAAAATGTAGGGCATGAAAAAAAATGAAGTGAATGCAATGAGGTTCTTTTATTTTGAAATAGAAAAGTTTAGCTACATTTACTTTCAGAAAACCAAGTGCCCGCCTCAATATTTGAAATTGCTTCTGTGTTTATAAATGAATAATTGTGTTCTGCCCTTTATTACCTAAATATGCTGTTGTCAAACTCTTATTCATGTGTTAAGTTTTATGTTTATATATTAGGATCTGAAAGAAAAAGAGAATAATGAGCTTGATATTCAGTTGAAAGTATTTGATGAAAACAAAGAAGATGACCTAACTGAATTATCACACCGTCTCAATGACATTCGAGCAGAAATGGAATATCCTTTGACAAACCACAAAACAATTTCATGTGCATTGTGGGAAAGGGATTTGTGGGCGATTTTGTGGACCATTATTAGTGTTCTTGTCTGCCAGGCCAATTTATATCCATTTATTTATATTAGAACCTCACTATGATGCTGTCCTTGAGATTCATGTTGAGGAATTGTCATGCTGTCCTGATGATTTACACTGAGTGTTTTGAAATCTGCACAATGGCTCACAGTATTATAGGTATACTCTGCTCAGTGGTCTTGAATAAAGAAGAGCATAAGGCAATGTATTTTATATGTAAGGATTTTTTTGGGGAAAAGTTCCCTGCATTCATATGTGACTATAGGAAAAATACTTATTCAGTTCATTAAATCAAGCTTCAGTGACTTAGAGATACAGTGCAATTCAAATAAATGTCTTATTCTGTATTCAAATATTTGTGTTTCTTAGCAATAACAGAAATGTTTAGATGCAATAGTATCTGGCTATAACAAGGCTATGTGATAGAAGCATCTGAGCCAAATACAGCTAGCATGTAACCTTCCGATGGCAACAATTTTATATGAAATGATTTTAGATCTAAGAGATGTTTGTCATAGCATTGCTGGCCATTTGTTTCTCACCTGTTATGTTTCTTAATGGTTTGTGGTGAAGTTGGGAAACACATCAGAACCAAAGTGACCTTTGCGTTGGACTTTTTCTCAGTGATGTTTTCTTCCCTTTCCTACCCCTTGCCCCCACCTTCCAAAGCTGGAAGTAATATTCTCCTCCTTGAAATACCCAAAGTACTTTGTTTGTTCTATTTTATTTATGTACACTTTTGTGCCCCTGTGAGATTGAGGGCAGAAATGTTATGTTTAATCTTTTTTTCCTTCAATGCCTCTATGCAAGTCTTACACATAGGTATTGGATAAATGTGTATGCAATGAATAATGTTATAACAAATAATTTCTAGTAATTTTGTTCATCATTAGTGATACCAGTCTACTGTGGCTTCTATAATATTAAATGCTTTTCATATCAATGAATATCTTTACATAGATTTCTCTTATAATCAAACTTCACCATAAAGCTATTTTCGGATCCATTGTGTAGCCATTTAAGGACCTCATGAGACTTTAGCACAACACTATTATGTGGGGTCTAAGAAGTAAGCCATCATGTGCTTAATTCTACGTTGGAGAAAATGTTGACATTTTAGGTTATTTTAGGATATTGAATTACATCTGATGTTTTATCTTTATTTTACCTTGGTTTTCCAGGTTCTCACTTTTATTACAAAAATGGATCCATTTTGAAATCTAATTTCTAGTTTACTAAAAGCATCTAAATTTCGACCACTCTTTATATCTTGTCTCTACTTTTCATATTTATCAAATAGTGAAATACAAATGAATGAAAACAATAATAATTTCAGGTTAGTAAGTATTTCATCTGGATAAAATAAAACTGATTTTGTGATCTTTTAGCAGTTTACAGCATGCTCTTTTGCCTTCTATCTTATGTGGCAGTGAAAATAGAGTAGTAGTGATTTGCATGAATAATATAGGTCGTCTATCACAACTGTAGGGAGATCAAAAGGAAACCATTTTTACTGATGGCATGGCTATTCCAATGGTACCAGCTATAATCTGGAGTTTAAAATATGAATAACAGATCATTTAAGATTTTGATAGTCAAATGGTCTTGGACATGCTCTTGAGGTATGTCTCTCTAATTAAAAGATCAAAATGATTCCATAGAATCATTACTTTATGCAGATGTTTAATACTGGATCATAGAGTTTAAGGTTTAGAAATAGTAATGCAAGCAAGATATTAAGTCGATGTTTTAAAAAGTTAAACACCTTTGTTATTAATGAAAACTTCCATCAAGAATCTTTAATTTTTTTCCTTTACTTTCTACTGATATGAATGAAGTGTATCATCTTCTATATAATATGCTGAAGGACACTGCTGCTGAAAATTACTTCTTATCCATTCTACAACATTTTTTGCTTATCAGAAATGATTATTATATCAGGTAAGAGGCAGTTATGAGAGTACTATATAATTTGAATTGGATATTAAAGGAAAATGAACAATATAGTGGGGCCTACAGAATATGTGCATATATATATATATGCAGAGGGTATAAGAGTTTGACTCCTTTAGGTAACATTTTTAAAATTTGGCCAGAAGAGAGAGATGTACTTTTAAAAATGGGGTACTCCAGTGATAGGACTTTGGTAGCAATGAACCCAACAGATTGCAATGCCCTTGCAATGGATTTTATTTGCTAGATAGTGATATCAAAGAGAAAGCACTGAAGATTCTGGGGTAGAATAAAGGTTTTATCTTGTGCATGTTAAGTAAGGTTTTACTGTTACTTCTCTTATTACAGTATTTACTAATAAATGTGATCTTAACATCTAAGAAAATTATAGTGCTGATATTTCAATTTCATGTATAGTAATGTCCTCCTTCAAAATAAATGAATATGATAATAACCGCTAAAGTTAAAAGTTTCAGAATCTAGTTAATAGGGAATATATCTGAAAACCAGAAAGTTATGTAAAGGCTTCTGAGTGACTGAAATTATCCACAGGCTGGTGACCGTGATATTATATTTAACTGTTCAAGAGACTCTTAGTTGTCCTTCATACTCTAATTTGCGTGAAATTCTGACAACCTAAGTTCTTTGATTTCTCAAAACCTGCTTGATTAAAGGGAAAAGGAAAGCTACCATGAGGTCAGCACAGTCTCAACAAAAATTACAGCTGTAAAGCAGCACAGAGAACTATTATACTTCAGACCAGTACAATAATTTGATGGACATCGTGACATTACAGAGACATAAAAAATGTTTAGAATATTAAATTTTGTGCTGTTTTTTAAGCAGTAAGGCTGGTAATACATTGAAATTATTGTATTTTAAATTAAGTTCTGACAAATGTAAACGGGGTACTCTGCCCATAGATACTGTTACCTGGGAAATGTCATTTATCTGAAAGTATCCATTTCTCAGCAACTATGAATAAATGAGAAGTTACCATCATGTGGCATGTTTTTCATCCTGAGAACATCCATGTGAGGCAGAAGTGTGGCAAGCATTTTATTCCACATGAATGATTAACCTGGCCTGGAAGAGAACAGCTGTGTTTTCCTTATTTAACCATTGACTAGACTGAGGTTATAATCCAGTATTATTTACTCTCAACCTGATGATGACTTGAAAAAACCCCAGATGTGTAATATATATTGCTATTTATTCTTATTCTTGGGACCAGACCCATTACTAAAGACATAGAAGAGCAATTAGAGTCTATTTGGCTTCATTTACACACTTTTAGTAGGTTGGCTAGTTATCAGCACTCTATATTTAGGGAAGTTTATATCATAATTTGTCTATAGTAGTACTTCTTACTACTGATTTTTCTCCGTTGAATTTATTATCCTCTGAGAAGTACTAAATCTTACTCAAATTTTAATGCAAAAGTGACTTTTAAAAATTTCGCACTATGTGAGTGGTCATTTATAGAGCCAGAATTACCTTGATAGATTACAGAATTAGGATATGTTTTAAAACCTGTGACACTTTGAACAAATTGAAGCAGTAGCCATGCATATTAAGTATGTATGTTTTTATGAAATGGATCTTTTAAAATGTGTTGCATAAATAGATCCTTGGAATAGTTTTGTAACATAAGTGGCTCTGTCCAGTTTTGTAAGTTGTTATAGCTATGGTGACTAAAAGTGCTGTAGTAAATTCAAAACATTGCTTGCCACCTAATGTGAAGAAACTTATCCCTTATTGAAATTGAGAACCTGTGGATGCCTAGAACCGTTTCTGTATCTATGAATGTAGGACTAATGGCTTATTTGTTTTTATTAACCTTAGAAACAATAGCATAAGTAAATAGAAAAAGTTGATAAGTATCTTTGAACAGAAGCATGAATCCCTGCAAACTAGATTATTAAGTCACTAGATGTCGTTGATTACATCACAGTGGTTTGGTGCTGTAACACCCAGACCATCCTTAAGCTTAGGCATACTTGTCCTAAGGGATTGTAGTGGCTGCAGGATGTTTTTGAACAACTTCAGAAAAAGACCTAGTTCTTCTAATATGTTGAATCTCTTCTAAAGAAAATTGATTTGCATGCATAGAAAGGCATTCATGAATACTTTCTCTTTTTCAGGCCACAATATTACAAAATAATTGAAGAATGTGTTTCACAGATAGTGCTACACTGCAGTGGTATGGATCCAGACTTCAAGTACAGACAAAGATTAGACATTGATTTCACGCATCTGATAGGTATGTAACATAATCCTCATTGTCCTCTGATTGTGTTTTATACCCTCTGTATTATAAGCACTTTTTAAGTGAAGAAGTTCAGTAAGAAGTTTCAGTTCTTACTGCATTTCTATTCATATCTGGTAAATCTTTGTGTCTCTGGGTACTCAATTGTTATAATTGTTAATTTTAATGATTTTGAGAGGTCTTCTAGTGTGATTAGAAATACTAACCTATTTGATAAGTTCCCACACTCCTGGAGGTAGTTTAAGCTTAGTGCCCCACAGAAACCCATCATATTATTGTAGATGAGTGCATTACTATTTTAAAAACATGACTGAAATATTTAATTCATTTTATACTGGTACCTTAGTGGTCTCCTAGAAATTATGTATACAGTGGGGTCTCATTATGTTATTAGTGCTCAAGTTTTAGAAAAGAAAAACAGGCTCATTTCAATAACTTGAGACCTTCTAAGGCTAACAAATAGATAAACTTATATTTTCATAGATCTTAGAATTAGAAAGAATTTGAGGTGATCATATTCATCTCCTTAGATCACTAAGGAAATGACCTTATATCATCCAAGACTGGTAGTTAGCAGTACTTTTTAGGACAACCTTGGAAGGATGATCTGAACCTTCCCTTGTGAAATGTGCTATGCTCTCTAGCCTTATGGCTAAGCAGTCTTATTTATACTTCATTGGAATTACTGTTGTTAAGGTTCAAGCATGAATTCATTTGTCTTATCTTTAAAGAAAACAACAGCTATTTAATGCCAATTATATATTATTTTTCACTCCATAGCACAAGGCAGATAAACAGTAACATTCAAAGATGGATAACTTATTTATTATGTATTATTTCTGTTTTAAATGTAATGCATATTTATTTCAGGCAATCTGGAGACTTAGATAAGTGACAAACCCCCAATTACATTCGTGATCACTCCCTTTTCAGCTTGGTACATTTCCATATGTCTCTTTCTTTATGACCTATCTGTCTGTCTGTATGCTGATTTTTCTTGGAGTATTATGAGAGTTTTTCCACATTAACCTCCAAAATATGACTTTTGATGTCTGTATAGTATTCCGTTTTGTAAAATACCATAGACATTGTAAACAGTCCTTTCTTTTTGTGTATTTATAGTTGTTTTTAGATTTTCACAAGTATAAATGAATGTGCTGTCACCATTCTTGTATATAAATGTTTGTCTTTTTCTCATTATTTCCTTAGGATTGATTTCTGTAAGTGAGGGTATGAACTTTCAAAGCCCAAATGCTCTTCAGAAAGCTTGTGCCAATTTACCCAGCGGTGAATGTGAATGCTAGCCTAATTGCATATTTTTCAAAGAGTTTGACAAGTTTATTTTGCTTTTTGTTGAGGGTGTCATAAGCGACTATTTTCAAATATGTGTATTGGCTTATAATCCATATGGACCACAGTTAGCACACATATTCTGCTGTTGATTTTGATCTTATTAACCTTAAGCATGGAGTCTTTGTCAATTCTCTATCCATAATAAACTATAATTTTTGAAGTATTTTATAGTAGAAAAAATTGAATACATATAAAAATACTAATTTAGTCAAGTAGTATTCAGTGTTCAACAGACATTTGTTTTGTGTACTGTGTGCCAGGTACTTACAATTCTATACCATTAATTAAAAGTGTTGGGTGAGGAGAGATGAAGGGATCAGGTGAGAGAGGATAGTCGGCATCATAAACCCATTAGGATCTTATCCACATGTCATCTCTGCGATTGTGAACAAATGATTTAACTTCTCTAGGTTTTAGTTTCCTCAACTTTAAAATTGATTAAATCAAATATATGAGTGAGTCTTAATATTTTATGGTCAAAATTCTTTGTGAGAAGTTGACAAATGCTTTGGAACTTTGATTAGAACACACATATGTTCACATACACAAAAATTATCAGGTGCTACAAGAACTTCTAGGAGACCCGTGGATCTTTATTTTAAGATGACTTGGACCTGAAGAGATTAGAGTCTCTTTTAATTTCACAGTTACTTTAAGTATGGTATCTTTCATAAATCAGAACGTATCAGATCTCTGCTTAAAACTCTCTGATGCCTTTCCATTGAAATTTAAATCAACATCATTACCACCGTGGCTAGCACAACTTAGATATGGCTCTTCTTTGACTTCATCATTTCCTGCTTTCCTCCTCAGTTGCTTGATTCCAGCTATACATTTAAAAAAAAAAAAAGAACAAAACAAAAAATCAACTTTATTGAGGTACATTTAATGTAAGAAAAACTACCCATATTTAAGGTATACAATTTGATAAATTTTGCTATTAATATATACATCTAAAACCATCATCAAAGTGAAGATACTAATCATAATTGTTATTCCCTAACATTTCTGCATTGTCCTTTTTAGTTCTTCCTTTACATATCTACCACATTTTTCCATCCTATGGTATTACTGATCTCTCTGTTACTAGTTACGTTTTATAGTCTCTCTCATTAGTTGCATTAAAAAAATTTTTTTTAAATAGAAACATACAGCATATTTTTTTTGCCTGTCTTCTTGCCTTCAGCATAATTATTTTGAGATTCATTCATGTTGTTGTATTGCATGTATCAATAGTTCATTCCTTTATATTGCTGAGTAGTATTCCAATATATGGATATACCACAGTTTGTTTATGTATACACTTGTTGATGGCTATTTAGGTTCTTTCCAATTTGGGATTATGATAAATAAAACTGCTATGAATAGTCATATACAATTCTGGGTACCAGTATATGTTTTTATTTCTTTTTGATAAATAAATAAGTGTGGAATGGCTAGATACAGAATAGAATTTCTATATATATAAAATAGTGGGAGATACAATGTTTCACAAAAATTGTTCTTCATTTATTTATATTCTGAAGTATTTAATTGGACCTGAGAAGTTTGAAATTTGTTTCCTCATGTTCATGATACATTTTGCCCCAGATCAGAAGTTAAGTAAAAATCTTTTCATGAAGAAGCCTGAATTATTGAATGTTATTCTATCTCTAGCTTTTTTATAGGACAATTTTGAATCTTACTAAGACTATTCATATCTTACTATTAATGTTAAACATGGAGTCTTTGTCACCTCTCCACCCATAATAAACTATGGTTTTTTGAAGTGTTTTATAGTTGAAAAATAATTGAATACCTATAAAAACAATAATTTAGTGAATATATTTATGGATGCTTGGTTTTGTGCCTCTACAGTACTATCATTGATTTCAGTTAGTGTGCTAAAGAAGAATATATATGGTATTTATGTTTTATGTGCAGTATACGTCAATTTCCATTTAGTAACAATTGACATAGAAATGATAGTCTGCATTGCAGAGTTATAGACTAGAAGACATCTTTTGTCTCGTGATCTCATGAGTCACTTTTGGTTAATCTTAATAGATTCTTGCGTGAACAAGGCAAAAGTTGAAGAAAGTGAACAAAAAGCTGCAGAGTTTTCAAAGAAGGTAAGGTTATAAAATATTAGCCCTAATGGTTAGGTTAATAATTTATTCACAGCAGTATTCTACCTTCTTTATTAGGTGAGGCCTTCTAAATGTTTCAGTTATTTGGTACTTTATATTTTTGGATTCAAACATAGCCATGGAATATTGATTTATTTCCTTATAAGATAAGGTTGCTATTGTTCCCTCCTCATCACATTTAATCCATTGTGGAAAAAAAAAAAAACACTAGCCACATTACACTAAAGTGATAAACGGAATAAAATTACATTGCTGATTACATCACTTACAAAATAATTATCATTTTGTAAGTGATGCTGCTAAATCATGTAGGCCTGGTAGAATTTGATGATCCCTTTTCTTTCTGTGTTAATGTCATAAATGCCTTTGAGTAAATGCCAGCTTTATGAATATCTGAATTTCATTAAATCTAAGCTTGTCTTTTCCTTGTTTCATGAAAGCATAGCTATAATTTTATTAACTCTTACCACAAGTTTCTCTTTTTTTGTTCTAGAGCCTATTAAGCATTAGTCTAGTATTTCTCTGCTTTTGGGTGCAGGCAGAAGGATTGTGCTTATATACTGCTGTCTCTTCAAAGTTATGACTTACCTTGGAGATTAGATAATCACTTTTGCTATCACTCTAGAAATTATTGCGTATTACTGAAAAAGTTACTTCAGGGCATCTGAAGAAATGTCTTGCTCTTTCAGTTACTATAATAGAGCTTGAGCATAAATGTTTGTGTGCAGCTGTCATTTTTATTGGTGAAAGAAAATGCCTGCTTTTTGATTAATAGACCTTTATATTTCTAATGTTCTTGTTTTAAGTAGCACATTTAAAATTCCCTTTGAAACATCTTAGAATCTCCTTAATTTTTGGCTGGTACTGTGATTAGACACTATAAGACTAGAGCAAATCATGATTATCTGTCTGGTAAAGTTTTTTTGAGACCATATATATTATGGAAAAAGGAGTCCTGAAGCAATAGAAAAGACATTTCAGTGTTTGATGCTTTAGTTTCATCACTAACATTTAGAATGAAAACATGTATGATCTCCCAGTGGTTAGCTACATGCATCCTCTTGTTCTGGGTCATTTTAAGAGGCAGGATAAAGTCATTTTTAACAAGTGCTAGAATGAAAGGCAGTAGTTGTAAGATCTGATCTCAGCTTTTCCACTAATTAGCTTGTGACTTTGGGTAAGCCACTTATTCTCTTTAGATCTTAGTTTCTTCATCATTAAAAGGAAAGAATAAAATTAGTGGACTTGTAAGAAGACCTCTTCCAGCTCACATATTTCAGGCTTCTGTGACTCCTATTTGCTGAGTTTGCAGATAAAGGTAATTTTAAATTAAAAGCAGAAACATTGTGTGCCTCTCCTTCAACATACTAATGAACCATTTATAGAGGAAAAGTTGTGTATAGTGTGCTTTTGCAGGTGCCATGATTTAGAAGCACATAGGAGAAGCTAACTTTGGAATTGGGAATGGGAGTATAGATTGAGATAAATCTTAACACAGATAGTAGTAAAGGCAAACAAGCTCTAACTGGAGGACATCCGTCGTCTTAATGAAGTAGAAAAGCAAGGTCATTGACTGAAGGATAAGGTTATCCTTCACTCCAAGGATCTGGGGTGGGTTTGAAATGTAAAGAAATTAGAGAATATTTGGACCAGGATCTGTGGGACATTTTCTAGGGATTCAAGAAGATATGAATAAAAGCATTTCAGGTTCAATCCAAACATTATTATCCAGTTTGCTCACCCACTCTTTCTTCGGACTTAGATCAGAATGGCATATTATAATTTCCAAATGTCAAAGTTACTCTGAGGATGAATATTTGTTAACAGTGAACATACTTTTGTATTGTTCCACAAACTCTAAAATGGTTTTGGACAGTAAGATGTATCACTTTTAGAAACAGAAATAACATTGTTAGAATAATGTATAGACTTCTAAATTGACTTGAAACAACATTGGCAATAAAGGGCAAATAAAATGTTCTATATCCAGACCCAGGCAGTATTCACTGTAAATATGCAGGCAGGTTTTTGCCTTCTTAGAGTCCTCTCTGAGGTAAGGGCTAGGGAAGGATACAGTAAGGAATATTAACTATTCATACTCTTTTGCTTTAGCACCCCATATTTTAACCTCTAATTTTTCTTCTCAGAACTTGCTAAACAAATGTTTTGGTTAACCATATGAATGAGACTGCTATTACTGCATTCTGCTGTCAGAATTTGTGAGGTACCACTTTATGGATTCTAGCCAACTAAGATTGTAATAGAAACAATTCCAATTTGTATTATCATACATACATTTGAGCATTCTAAAAGTACAGTTTGTTTTCAAGATTAAATATAGTTAAGGAGTTGAAACTGCTTGAGGATTTATGTTTAGATTTCATTTTCTAATTTATTAAACTTAAAAGTATGGGATGAGGCCATGCATGGTGGCTCATGCCTGTAATTCCAGCACTTTGGGAGGCCAAGGCAGGTGGATCACCTGAGGTCAGGAGTTTGAGACCAGGCTGGCCAACATAGTGAAACTGCATCTCTATTAAAAACATAAAAATTAGCCAGCCGTGGTGGTGCATGCCTGTAATCCCAGCTACTTGCGGGGTCTGAGGCAGGAGAATTGCTTGAACCCAGGAAGCGGAGGCTGCAGTGAGCTGAGATTGTGCCACTGCACTCCAGCCTAGGTGCAAGAGTAACACTCTTGTCTCAAAAAAAAAAAAAAAAAAAGATATGGGATGAAATATTTTTAAAATTATTAATTCTAAAATTGAATTTTCAGGCCGGGCGCGGTGGCTCAAGCCTGTAATCCCAGCACTTTGGGAGGCCGAGGCAGGTGGATCACGAGGTCAAGATATCGAGACCATCCTGGTCAACACGGTGAAACCCTGTCTCTACTAAGATACAAAAAATTAGCTGGGCATGGTGGCGCGTGCCTGTAATCTTGGCTACTTGGGAGGCTGAGGCAGGAGAATTGCCTGAACCCAGGAGGCGCAGGTTGCGGTGAGCCGAGATCGCGCCATTGCACTCCAGCCTGGGTAACAAGAGTGAAACTCCGTCTCAAAAAAAAAAAAATATTGAATTTTCAATAACAAAACAATAAAATTGTCCAATATGTGTGAAGAGAGACATTTCAGTCTATCTTTTTGTCTTTGTATTTTTTTTCAGAAGTGAAAAAGCGTTTTCTTACCTTGGGTAGGGGGCATATTTCTTTATTACCACTACCACCGCAAGCAATACCCCACCTCTACTTGGATACTTAATTGTTATGAAAATAATCATGAGCTGTGATTTTCTGAGTGATCTGGGAATTCAACTAAGTAAAAACCACTCCACTTATTTAAAACATAATGTTCTTTAAAGCTTTCTCAAAGCTATATTATTAACTGTACATTGATGGTGATGATCATTGCAGTTCGATGAAGAATTCACAGCTCGACAGGAAGCTCAAGCTGAGCTTCAAAAAAGAGATGAGAAAATCAAAGAACTTGAAGCAGAAATCCAGCAACTTCGAACCCAGGTAATGAAAGACGATATAGACTTTGTGTCATGTCACAGTGAGTTCGATGGTAGAAAATCATCTTGTTAGATAGAAGGAAAAATGTGACCAGAAGCAGACGTTTTGGCAGTTTTACATTTTTGTTGAAATAACTCTACAGATTTTATATTCCAGGACAATAAATCATTTAAATGCTTGGAAAAAAATAAAGCATTAGTTGCTCAAATGGCTCTGAATATTTTTAACAGAATAGATTACACAGGCAAAAGTGTTTTTGAGATGAAATTTTCATGATGATTTGAAAAATTGGGTACAGACTATTTTCTTTCAAAAGAATGTGGAAATGCTTATTGATTATAACTATCCCAAAAGCATCTTGAGATCTCTTTGAATCTCAAATAAATTTCCACCTACATTCCATATACACTTCAAATTTCAATTAGGATATCTAAACTTTCAACTGATTATGTATTCTCCTCAATATACTTTGTGTCTTAAATGAAAATTAAGAAATTGAATATGATGTCCTAACATAGTGGGTGCTCAGTAGGTGTTTGTTGATTGACCACATCTGTTTCCACCAGTCTAATGAATGATTACTTCAAAAGTCACCAACAAACTCCAAATACCCAATCCAGGGGCCTTTTCCTACCCTTTGCCTGAACCACTTATCTCTAATATTTGATCATTTCTTTTTAATAAATCAATCTCTCTCTCCATCTCTCTTCTTCCCTCTCTTTTTCTCAGAATTCTTTTTCTACATGTTTGAGAATGTAGTTTCTCCTTATTTTTTCATCCTCAAATGGTGACATTCCGCAATATTCTGTCCTCTGCTCTTTTCTTTTCTCTGTATATTCTTCCTGTAATTTTCCATTCAGTATCATACATTCACATATCCCCTTTTGGTAGGTGTCAAGTCTTTTGAGTTTGTCTTCTAATTCCAGCTCTTGATTAGCTAGCCCCATAGGATGGTCCTGTTGCATGTTGAAATCAACCCAGTTTTGTGATTTTCTCTCTTCCCTTAAACCAGTTTGTTGTCCATTTCCCATTTAAATTTTACCACCCAATATAAAGATGGCGATGCTGGAGTTTGTTCCCCTTTTTTCTGCCCCACCCACTGACAAATTAAGCTTGTCACACTATTTTATGTCTGTTCTGTCTTCATGTCTGCTCATACTATACCTCATTGCATCAAAACCCAGAAACCTTCAGGTTTACCCTCTTATGACATCCTGCCTGGACTATTACAATCATTATTTAACTTTTCTCCTTCCTCAAATTCAACCTTTATGTCAGTGGCAAATTAATCTTCCTGAAACACTTCCCTGATTATTGTTACTTCAGGCTTTAATATGTTCAATTGTTGCCTGTTGCAATCAGGATTAAATAAAAACTCCTTACCAGGAATTTTAAGACCCTCTGGCATGGTTCTTTCCTCCCTTATCTCCCCTTTGCAGCCGAGGCTCTGACTGTCCCCTAACTACAGCCTCTGTTGCAGCTAAGTCACCTTTCCTCCCTTCACATTTGGAAATTACTATCTCCTTATTTACCCTTCTGCTAGCATTTCCCAGATATTAGTTACAGAAGTGCCAATAGGTTGTTCATGAGGAAAGCATTCCATAGTCCAATAAATTGAGTACACATGAAATTCTCATCTTGGAGATTCATAGTATTCATTAGCATATTAAAGGTCCCAGATATTTTACATTGAAGAAACCTGTCTACGTCTTTTTTACGTAGATTTCTCAAACTCATTTGACCACAGCACCCTTTATCTCAGAACATCCTTCAAGATCTCTTGGCAATAGTGTTTTCACAGAGCTTAGTTGAGTAATATTGGCGTATATTATTCTCTGTCAGAAATTCCCTCCTTTGCTCATGTGTGTATGTGAAACATATCCTTTAAGGCCAAGTTCATTAAGACATCCCTTGGAAAGCTTCACCAAAACCTCCATTAGTAAATTTCTCTGAAATTTCATATCACTTTTCTAGACCACTCATGGGATATTTGTGTACCTGCTCTATTTCTTCTGCTAGAACACAGACACCTTGAAAGACAGTGTATTTCTTATTCAAGGACCTACTGTACCTAGCACAGGCCATTACCACAGTTAGTAGTTGCTTACTCTTGGTTAAATTAACTGTAAAAACTACACAATCATGAAATATTCTCAACTCCTGTCCTCAAGCATTCCTCCTATCTTAGCCTCCTGAGGAGGAGCTGGGATTACAGGTGCGAGCCACCACACAGGGCTGTATACTCTCTAGTTTGCCCAAAATAATGTCAAATACTAAATTATTCATTTACCGTATTTAATTTACAATACAATGTGGTAGTCTAATTTAATTATTAAGTTCCTAATTGTTCATGGGAGGGAAAAGAAAGGCTGATATGATTTGATTTTTAAAGACTGGTGGCATTTAATATAAATATTTGAAATTCTTTATTTAATTTTGTAAAATACTATATTTAACTTTAGTAAAATTTTATTTAAATAATAGAATTTTGTAGTTGTATAAAATTCACAAAATAAATATGATCTAATAGAGGTAAAAATTGATGTTTACAAATGTGTATTACTTTGAATTATGTTTATTAATTTAAAAATGGGACACACATTTCACCTTTTAAAGTATGAAGAATATCCTTTCATACACAAAATTTGTAGGATAGATTACTAATTTTCTGAACCTTTAATTTTGCCACAATTTCTTTATCTCAGTTAAGACTATTAAATCAGACTTTTCTATAGTTTTGCTACTTTAAAAGTAAAATTAAAATAATTTTACGTATTTTAATCTTGTATTTCTTTCTAACCTCAGGGAGAATTGCATTCTAGGAGAGGATGGTCATTTGTTAAGTATAGAAACACTTTAGTTGTATGTGTGTATATATACATACATAAACATTCATCTATGTGAATAAACTAGTTAGTTTACAGTGAATATTATGGGAAACCTTCCCATGACCATGTCTACCTATGAGTGTTACTTTAATATTTTTATAAATAGGTCAGTCCTTCCAATTAATTGTTCTAAGAATTTGCTTCAACTTATGTTCTAAAGATATATTTCTAAGTTTAGTTAGAACAACTAAATAATCCAAGTAGAAAATTTATATCAGTAAAGGTGAGTAGGCTAGGCACAGTGGCTCTTGCCTTTAATACCAGCACTTTGAGAGAACAAGGTGAGAAGATCTCTTGAGCCCAGGAATTGAGACTGGCCTGGGCCACATAGTGAGACCCCATCTTTACAAGCAAAAAAAAACAAAAAAAAATTGCCTGGTGTAGTTGTGCATGCCTGTAGTTCCAGTTGGTCAGGAGGCTGAGGTGGGAGTATCACTTGAGCCCAGGAGTTCAGGGCTGCAATGCACTATGAGTCTGGGCAACAGAGCAAAACTGTCTCTAAATGAATGAATAAAAGAGGTCAAAAATGAACCTATCCCAGGACATGTAATTAACTTTTCTTTTTGTCACTGACAAATTTGTTTATTAAGTTGTTAATGTTTTACAAAGTTTGTTCAGTGTTATATGGAACTTAAATCCTGAGTTTCCCCTCAATAATACAGATGGTTTTAATACAGGCATTTGTACAAACTACTGCAATTACTGATACCTAATATAATTAGACTTCTGTAACTTCCATTTGTCAGGTAAATGAAACACCTCTCAAAGTTACCATAACTTTAGGAATTCACAAATTCCTATTTCTCCAGTTTTTCATTAGTGCGTTTTAAACTTTCTTAAAAGTGTAAAACAAAACCCCCAAATCAAAAGCCTTAATATGAACCAACATTGAGAGACAGAGTAATGTAAGAAACTCTTTTATTCATCACAGGGAACAAAATACAGAATATATTACTAATTTCTTTTCCACTAAAGAAAATGCACTTTGTATTTAGATAAATAAATTCTTAATTGCTGGAAGTTGCCTCTGGAGAATGATCCATAAGTGCCCAATCAATGGTCAGATATTGATACCAGGGTCCATCTCTTCTACATTAATCTTCATACTTCCAGCTCCTTTATCTGCAATTCAGCCTTTTCCATTTCAATCTGAAAGATAGCCATTATTCTTTAGTAATTCTTTTCACGATCATCATAGAAAGTATGGACAATCCACCTCAATATAGGATGCTTATAATAGTCCCATTGTTCTGGGATATAGCCTTCTGGAATTTCTACTAGTTCAGTTTCACCAATGAATACATTCACCAGAGTTTCACCAATTGCCACTGGAATCCTTGTAAACAAAATGTGGAATGTCAATAAATTCAAAAAACACTCATTGTGAAATCTAGAAGCTTTCATGATAAATAGGCTTTTCCCATGGTCTCCACTGTGTTAAACAGGAGTGACAGCCCTCACAAAGCCACAGGTGAGGAAGCCCCTGAATCCCAGTTGAATGCCAAGGCACTGGCCAGACAGCTGCCACTGCAGTAACTGAGGCCTGTTGCAAAAAACTCATGGCTTCGTTGGCTGCCTTAATGAGTTTTAAACCTTTCATTCAGTTAATCTAATGTCATATCTTGATTAAAACAGATTCATGTTCATTAGTAGTGGTTTCATAAGAATGTTTATAATGAACAGTTCTACTTTTCATATATATTTATTTAGCAAACCATTGTGATCAGTAATGGTTTAAGGAAATGGATACAGATTAATCATCTCTAAAAAGAACACTCTATGGCATGCAGTGTTCCCCGTTGTCATTAGATAATGAGCTTGAAGTTACTTTCCGACAGAAATGTTATATTCTCCTCATAATCCTATCTATTTGAGTTAATTGTCCTCATTATAAATGGCACCTATTGATAAAGAGGCGATCTTTTATATTGGAATGAGGATGGCATTGGCTGTGAGAAGAACCAGATTGAAATTCTAATCATGTTTCAGACTCTGAAATCTTTGGTAAATAATTTACCTTTTTTGCAGTTAGCAATTTCCTCATCTTTAAGCAGTGAAATAAAGGTAAGATAATAATGCCCTATCTGTATTACAGGGTTATAATAAGGATCAGAATAAATAATAAATATAAGAATGTTGATAAGCATATATTACTATGGAAATGGATGCTATTTAGTATTTATTATTGGTGTCAGAAGCCAGCTAGGTTACTAGTGCAATGAAACAGACTCTTTGTATAAAGCTAATTAGTCCCCAAGGGAATTGAATCCATAACCTTGTATTATCCCATATTCAAACCAACTAATTTTACCAGCCCAAGCCATATACTATACTTCTTTTTTGCATATATTTATAAACAAGTTCATTTTTCATTATTTCAGAGGAGTATTTCACAAAATCTTGGAGGATACTGTATTAGTCCATTCTCACACTGCTATGAATAAATACCCAAGACTGGGTAATTTATAAGAATAGATGTTTAATTGACTCACAGTTCTGCGGAGCTTGGGAGTCCTCAGGAAACTTAAAATCATGGAGGAAGGGGAATCAAATGCATCCTTCTTCACATGGCAGCAGCAAGGAGAAGTGCCAAGCAAAAGGGTGAAAGCTGCTTAAAAACCATTGGATCTTGTGAGAACTCATTCACTATCACAAGAACAGCCTGAGGGAAATGACTCCCATCATTGAATTATCTTATTCAGTTTTCTTTCCCTAGTCCTACCCTTGACACCTGGGGATTATTACAATTCAAGGTGAGATTTGGGTGGGGATGCAGAGCTAAACCATATAATTCCATACCTGGCACCTCCCAAATCTCATGTCTCAAATTTCAAAACACAATCATGCCCTTCGTCTCCTAAAGTCTTCACTCATTGCAGCATTAACCTAGCATTCCAAGTCCAAAGTCTCTTTTTAGACAGGACATGTTCCTCCTGCCTAGGAGCCCGTAAAATGAAAAGTTAATCAATTTCTAGATACAACAGGGATACAAGCATTGGGCAAATATACCCGTTTCAAATGGGAAAAATTGGCCAAAACAAAGGGGCTAGAGGCCCCCTGCAGGTCTGAAATCCAATAAGACAATCATTAAACCTCAGAGTTCCAAAATGATCTCCTTTGACTCTATGTCTCATATCCAGGACATGCTGATGCAAGAGGTGGGTTCCCATGACCTTGGGCAACTTTGCCCTGTATCTTGGCAGGGCGAAGCCCCTCTCCTGGTTGTTTTCACACGGTGGTGTTGAGTGTCTATGGCTTTTCCAGGTTCAGGGTACAAGCTGTCAGTAGATCTGCCATTCTGGGGTCTGGAGGACGGTGGCCCTCTTCTCATAGCTCCTCTAGGCAATGCCCCAGTGGCCACTATGTGCGGGGGCTCCAACCCCATATTTTGCTTCTGCACTACCAGAGAGTCTCCATAAGTGCTCTGCCCCTGCAGAAAACTTCTGCCTGGACATCTAGGTGTTTTCATATATCCTGTAAAATCTAGGTTAGAGGTTCCCAAACCTCAGTTCTTCACTTTTGTGTACTTGCGGGCTCAACACCACATGGAAGTTGCCAGGGCTTGGGGCTTGCACCCTCTGAAGCCATGGCCCAAGCTATACCATGTCCCCTTTCAGCCTTGGCTGGAGGGGCAGGGAGGCAGGGCATCAAAGAGGCTGCACACAGCAGAGGGGCTTTGGACCTGACACAGAAAATCATTTTTCTCTTCTAGGCCTCCAGGCCTGTGATGGGAGGGGCTGCCATGAAAGTCTCATGCCTTGGAGAAATTTTCCTCATTGTCTTGGTGGTTAGCATTTGGCGCCTCATTACTTGTGCAAATTTCTGCCTCGGGGTTAAATTTCTCCCCAGAAAATTGATTTTTCTTTTCTACTGCATTGTTAGTCTGCAAGTTTTTTAAACTTTTATGCTCTGCTTTCTCTTGAACACTTTGCTGCTTAGAAATTTCTTCTGCCAGATACCCTAAATCATCTCTCCCAAGTTCAAAGTTCCACAGATCTTTAGGTCAGGGACAAAATGCCACCAGTCTCTCTGCATTGCAAGAGTGATCTTTACTCCCTTACCCAAGAAGTTTCACATCTCCATCTGAGACCACCTCAGCCTGTACTTTATTGTCCATATCACTATCAGCATTTTAGTCAAAGCCATACAACAAGTCTTTGGGAAGTTCCAAAGCTTCCCACATTTTCCTATCTTCTTCTGAGCCCTCCAAACTGTTCCAACCTCTGCCTGTTACCCATTTCCAAATTCGCTTCCACATTTTCGGGTATCTTTACAGAAGCACCCACTATCCACTCCCAATTTACTGTATTAGTCTGTTATCACACTGCTATGAAGAAATACCTGAGACTGGTTAATTTATTTTATTTTATTATTTTTTTGAGATGGACTTTCGCTCTGTCACCAATCCTGAAGTACAGTGGTGTGATTGCAGCTCACTGCAACCTCTGCCTCCTGAGTTCTAGCAATTCTCCTGCCTTAGCCTCCCAAGTAGCTGAGATTATAGGCATGCATCACTACGCCCAGCTAATTTTTGTATTTTTAGTAGAGATGGGGTGTCGCCATGTTGGCCAGGCTGGTCTTGAACTCCTGACCTCAGGTAATCCGCCCACCTCTGCCTCCAGAAGTGCTAGGATTACAGGTGTGAACCACTGCGGAGACTGGGTAATTTATAGAGGAAAGAGGTTAAATTGACCCAGTTCCGCAGGGCTGGGGAGGCCTAAGGAAACTTACAGTCATGGCCAAAGGGGAAGCAAACACATCCTTATTCACATGGCCATAGCAAGAAATACCAAGCAAAAGGAGAACATTTCTTTATAAAACCCTCAGGTATCGTGAGAGCTCACTTGTGATCACGATTTGGGTGAGGACACAGAGCCAAACCATATCAGATGCCAACTTCCCTAGCATTCGTATGTTAACAGAAGTAGTCACTGTTCAGAATTTATAATGCTTATTAAAGATTTTACACAAGTCTTTTTCATATACCGTTAAACCCTTAGATTTTGCTAAATATTTAGATACTTTAGTAATATCTTAAAAAGTGTATATAATCTTCAAAAATAAGGTAGTTAAAATCTTAAACTACAAATATCTATTGATATATATTTCCTCAATTTTTTCAACTATATTTTCTAAGCATTTAAATTTGGATTATTTATATTTCAGGCACAAGTACCCTCAAATTCATCAAGAATTCCAGGTCCTCCTCCACCACCTCCATTGCCAGGTGCTGGGCCGCCTCCACCACCACCACCACCACCTCTACCCGGAGGAGCTCCTCCTCCTCCTCCTCCTCCTCCACCACCTCCTTTACCTGGAATGGCAGGGATACCACCACCACCACCACTTTTATTTGGGGGACCTCCTCCACCACCACCCCTTGGAGGAGTTCCTTGTCCCCCCGGATTATCAGTTGATCTACCTTATGGAATGAAGCAGAAAAAAATCTATAAACCTGAAGTGTCCATGAAGAGAATTAATTGGTCAAAGGTAATACTAAAACTAGAGTATTTTGATTTTGTCTAGCTGTTGGTGATCATTGCTATGTGTATGCATTGTATAATGTTTGAGAGTATGACCGCTGACTCTTTCCCTTCCTTTCTGAGTTCATCATTTTATGTCTGTCTGTCAATTTAGGGTCTAGATAATTGGAAACACTCTGGATAGTTTGACATTGTGAAGTAGACAAAAGAAAAATCAAAGTGATGTAGAGAATAATATTTGAAATATACAACAAATGAAAAGCAATTTTGATTCTTTTAACATAGCTTTTCTTTAAAAAAAAATTTAATTGATATGTAATATTTGTACATATTTATGGGGTACATATGATTTTTGCTACATGCATAGAATGTTTAATTATCAAGTCAGGGTGTTTAGGATATCCATTGCCTTTAATATTTGTCATCTGTTTGTGTTGAGAACGTTTCAGCTCTTCTCTTCTAGTTAATTTGAAATATATAATATTTTGTCAACTATGGTCACGTTACTGTGCTATCAGACCCTAGAACTTATTCCTTCTATCTGACTATATGTTTGTACGTATTAACCTATCTCTCTTCACCCTCCCACCTCCCACACACACACTTCCCAGTCTCTGGTAACTAATATTCTATTCTCTACCTTCATATCTACTTTTAAAGCTCCTATATATGAGTGAGAATATATATTTCCTTTTCCGTGTCCAGCTTTTTTTACTTAATATAATGATTTTCAATTCCATACATATTTCTGGAAATGACAGGATTTCATTCTTTTATATAGTTGAATAGTATTCCATTATGTTTCAATACTATGTTTTCTTTATCCATTCATTCATTGATGGACACTTAGCTTGATTTCATACCTTCATTATTGTGCCTAGGGCTGCAATAAACATGAGGGTGCAGGTATCTCTTGATATTCTGATTTTCTTTCCTTTGTATAAATACCCAGTGGTGGGATTACAACATTATCATGTGGTAATTCTGTTATTTAGGTTTTCCATAATGGCTGTACTATTTACATTCCTAACAGTAGTATATGAAAATTTCCTTTTCTCCACATCTTTGCCAGCATTTATTTTTTTTTTTACAATAGCTATTCTAATTGGCATAAGATGCTAATAAGATATCTCAGTGTGATCTTGATTTGTATTTCTCTGGTGATTGGTGATGTTAAGCACATTTTTATGTATCTTGGCCATTTGTATGTCCTCTTTTGAGAAATGTTTACTCAAATTATTTGTCTACTCTTTAATGTGATTATTTGTTTTGTTGCTGTTGTTTGGATTTCTTGCATTTTCTGGATATATACACCAATGGAATAGAATGGACTATCCAACAATAGTCCATTGTTGGATAAATAGTTTGCAGATATTTTCTCCGATTCAATAGATTGTCTCTTTACTCTGTTCATTGTTCCCTTTTCTATGCGGAAGCTTTTAAGTTTAATATAACCTCACTTACCCATTTTTGTTTTTGTTTCCTATGCTTTTCAGGTCTTACCATAAAATCTTTGCCTGGACCAGTGTCCTGGAGCATTTCCCGAACATATTCTTCTAGTAGTTTTATAGTCTCAGGTCTTATGCTTAAGTCTTTAATTCAATTTAAGTCCATTTTTGTATATTGTGAGATACATGGGTCAGGTTTAATTCTTTTGCAAATGGATATCCAGTTTTCCTATCATCATTTGTTAAAGAGGGTGTCCTTTCCCCATTGCATATTCTGGGCACATTTGTGCCAAATCTGTTAGCTGTAAATATATGAATTTACGTCTGGGTTTTCTATTCTAGTCCATTGGTGAATATATCTATTTTTACATTCGTACCATGATGTTTTGACTACTATAGTCTTATATATTTTGAAGTAAACGTCCTGCTTTGATCTTTTTGCTCAGGATTGCTTTGGCTATCAGGCTCTTGTGTGGTTACATATGAATTTTAGGGTTATTTTTCCTATATTTGTGAAAAAATGTTAATGATATTTTTATAGGGATTGCATTGGATCTGTAGATTGCTTTGGGATGTATGGTTGTTTTAACAATATAAGTTCTTTTATTCTATAAGCATTGTATTTCTTTTTATTTGTTTGTGTCCTCTTTAATTGCTTTCATCAGTGTTTTATAATTTTTCTTATAAAGTTCTTTTACTTCTTTGGTTAAAATAATTCTTAGGCTTTTAATTTTTTGTGGCTATTGTAAATGGGACTGCCTTTTTTATTTCTTTTTCAGCAAGTTTGTTGTTCAGGTATAGCAACATGAGTACATTTTCTGTGTTGATTTTGTATACTCCAACTTACTGAATTTATTAATTCTAAGAGCTTTTTGTGGGATGTTTAGATATCTCCAAATGTCAGATCATGTTGTCTGCAAACAGGGACAGTTTGATGTTCTCTTTTACAATTTGAATGTCCTTTATTTCTTTGCTTGACTGATGGCTCTGGCTGGGACTTCCAGTACTATGTTGAATAGAAATGGTGAAATTGAGCATCCTAGTCTTGTTCAAATTCTTACAGGAAAGGCTTTTGTGTTTTTTCCATTTACTGTGATGTTAGCAATGGGTTTGTCATATATGGCATTTATTACGTGGAGGTATGTTCCCTCTCTGCCTAATTGAGAGTTTTTATTGTGAAGCGATGTTACATTTTATTGAATGCTTTTTCTGCATCTGTTGAGATAATTATATAGTTTTCATCTTTCATTCTTTTGATGTGATGTATCATGTTTATTGATTAGCATATGTTAAACCATCCTGGCATTTCTGGGGTATACCCATTGATTATGGTGTATTATCTTTTGGATGTGCTATTGGATTCAGTTTCCTAGTATTTTGTTGATGAAGTTTATGCCTGTGGTTATCAGGGATATTTTTTAATTGTTGTGTCCTTTTTGGTTTTGGTATTGGGGTAATGCTGGCCTTGTAGGACGAGTTAGGAAGAATTTTCTCCTCTTTAGTTTTTTGGAATAGTTTGACAAGAATTGGTGTTAGTTCTTTTTTACAGGTTTGGAAGAATTTATCAATAAAGTCATTAGTCCTGGAGCTTTTTGATTGGGGGAACTTTCTTAGTAGATTGTATGTATCCCGTAATTTAGCCATTTCCTCTGACTTTTCAGCTCATTAATGTATAGTTATCCATAATAATATCTGACAGTTTTTTTTTTATTTCTGTGGTATTGGTTGTAATATCTCCTTTTCCATTTCTGATTTTGTTTGTTTAGGTCTCTTTTTTTCTTGGTTAGTCTAGCTAGTGGTTTATCAATTTTATCTTTTAAAAAAATCCAACTTGTTGTTTGGTTGCCCTTTTGTGTTATATTTTTAATCTCTCTATGGTTTAGTTCTGCTCTGATGTTTATTATTTTTTTCCTTCTACTGATTTGGGATTTGGTTGGTTCTTGCTTTTTTTGTTCCTTCAGGTGCAAAATTAACTGTTCATTATACATCTTTCCACTTTTTCAAAGTAGGTATTTACTGCTATAAACATCTCTCTTAGCATTGCTTTTACTATATCTCACAGGTTTTGGTATATTGTTTTTTCATCTTCGTTTATGTTAATACATTTTTAAATTTTTTTCTTAATTTCTTAATTGACCCAATGTTCATTGAGGAGCATGTTCTTTAAGTCTACGTATTTGTATAGTTTCTGAAATCCCTCCTGTTATTGATGTCTAATTTTATTCCATTGTGGTCTGAGAAGATACTTGATATGATTTTGATTTTTAAAAATTTATTGAGATTTGTTTTTTAATGGTAATATATGATCTATCCTTGAGAATTATTTTTATGCTGATGGGAGGAATGTTTATTCTGCAGCTGTTGGACAAAATGTTCCACAAATGTCTTTTAGGCCTGTTTGTTCTAAAGTGCAGTTTAAATCTAATGTTTATTTGTTGATTTTCTGCCTAGATGATCTGTCTAATGCTGGGAGTAGGGTGTTGAAGTCCCCAACTATTACTACATTAGAGTCTATCTTTCCCTTTAAATCTTATAATATTTATTTGTTTATCTGGGTGCTCCAGTGTTGGGTACATATATATTTTGACATGTTACCTCTTCTTGCTAAATTGATGCCTTTATCATTATATAATGACCTACTTTGTCTCTTTTACTGTTTTTGATTTAACATATTTTATCTGATATATGTATATTTACTCACTTTTGGTTACCATTTGCAATTTAAAAATCTTCTATTTTATTATTTTCAGTCTATGTGTGTCTTGCAGGTGAAATATGTTTCTTGTTGGAAGCATATAGTTGGGTCATGCTTTTTAATACATTCAACCAGTCTATATCTTCTAACTGGGCAATTTAATTTACATTCAAGTTTATTATTAATAGGTGAGGACTTACTCCTGTCATTTTGTTCACTGTTTTCTGTTTGTTTTGTGTATCCTTTGTTTTTTCCTTCTTTGTTATTGTTTATCCATGTGGTTTGGTAGTTTTCTATAGTGTTAACATTTGAGTCCTTTCTCTTTGTCATTTGTGTGTCTGCTCTACAGGTGATTTTTATACTTTCATGATGATATATTCTCTTTTAGATATGTAGAACTTCCTTAAGCATTTCTTGTAGGGCTTGTCTCGTGGTGATGAATTCCCTCCGTTTTTGTGTGTTTGGGAAAGACATTATTTCTCCTTCATTTCTGAGGGATAGATTTGCTGGGTATATATAACTGGCTTCCAGTTTTTTTTTTTTTCTTTTGGCACTTTAAATATACTGTCCCATTCTCTCTTGTCCTGTGGCCTCCCCAGTATGCTGCTCCACATGTTCCCTGGGATGTAGGACACTGTGTGGGCTAGAGTGCTAAGACCAGGTTTCATTGCTGGTTCCAGCCAGTGTCACACCACGTCAGTCATTTGGGTGGATGTGGGGGGATTTCAGTTGGGTTCAAGGATGTGGAGATAGAGAATCATTCAGCCCCAGGGCAGAATGTAGTCTGATGGAGTTTGGGCTCTCAATCTGTTGCCATACTGCAGCTTCTTTGGTCTTGGTGGCATGTGTGGGATCCAGTGTGAATGCCCTTTCTAGAGCAGTGCCATTGCAAGACTGCAGGTAACTTTGTATTCTAAAGACTAGTTTCAGGGCCTGTGGAGGCTGAGTGGGTCTCTTATGGCTAGAATCCTCAGAGTTCACAGTGTTCTGGAATCTGGACCACTGGGGATATGTTATTTACCCTTTTCCCACATTGGGGAGCTTCTCTGGGCTCTAAACTGATCACAGCCAGGCTTGCTGCCTGGATTCCCTCTCTTTCCATGCCTCATGTGTTTTCTGTAACTTCCCTGCCAAATTCCAGTATTCTTACATGCTGTGAATATCTACTCTCTTTTTTTTTTTTTTTTTTGGCTTTTTATGGAGGATGTGAGTGCCACATGCCTCCAGTCAGCCATCTTGAAGCCTCTTCCCCATTTTTCTTAAAATCCTTTGTATTTTTGAGCCTTTTTATCTTATTTGTTTTTCTTAATGAATAACTTTTTTTTTTTAGTTTTACACTTCCAAATAGTATGGAATAAGTGATGATATTTAGTATTGACATACCTTAATTGTTTTTTGATAGGATGTTTGAAATTACTTTCTTCTGAATGTTGTTTGGCTTTATTATTATCAAATAATATGTTTCTTTTAAAAGGTTATTATGTAGATTGACTCAGTCCTCATTGAGTGGGAACTAATATTTTAATGAAAATCTGTATTTACCCAGACAACCATTTGGGGAAATGTCTCAGCATTGTAGGTAGTAAGTTGGTTTAACAAGAATGATTATATCATTTTTCAATCTTATATGTATATTTATGATTAGCTCCTACGAGTAAACTTGTATTAAATGGTTTTAGAATGTAGTTTTTCTTTTAAAAAAAATTAGGTACAATTCATCAAAATACTGGATTACAAAGCTGTTGCTTTGTTGTATGCCTATGTTAATGTAATGATATGCTTCCTAGTTTAACAGTATAGTATACAGTGTAATGGTAGTTACATATCACAAAGCTTCACAGGATATTGGAAGATGAAGTTCTAATCTTGGGTAGTAGTTAACACCACAGTCCTCTGGAGCATACATCTAGATTTAAATCCCAGCTCTGCCATTTACTAATTTGTGTAGCCACTTAAACTTTCTTGGGCCCTGTTTCCTCATTTTTTAAAGTGGAGATAATAACAGGTCAAAAAATTATTATGAGGATTAAATTAGTTAATATATGCAAATCACTTAAAACAGTACCTGACACAAAGTAGGAGATGTGTGTCAGCTATCCTTATGCTACCTTAAACCTAGTGAGTGAACAAGGGGAATTCACTTTTCTCGGTTTCCCAGTTCTAAAAAACACAGGAACAAGATGATTTTATGTGAGTTGGGGTTAGGATTTCCTAAATTATTTTTAAGCCTCCTAAGTAGAATAATATTTAAGATGCAATTTGCTATGAGGCCTATTGCTATTGTGTACCATTTCTTCACACAATTCTGAGTTTCCCAATGAATATTTACTTTATAAGAAGTATTTAGGTACATCCTGAAATTGACTTCGAGGATAGAGAAGTAAAGGAACTGTCGTTCAACCTTGCTGAAAGTTAGTTTCTTGAAAATTTAAATATGAAGTTATAATTTAGAATCTTTTCTTTGTTATTTTTGTTTCAGGTTGAGCCCACAGAATTATCTGAGAACTGTTTCTGGTTAAAAGTTAAAGAAGACAAGTTTGAGAATCCAGATCTCTTTGCAAAATTGGCACTGAATTTTGCTACTCAGATAAAAGGTACATTTTTAAAAATAAAATAAAAGTTTCTGATTCAGGTATAATTTAATTCAGTGCTTTGCTAAAAATTTCTAGTAATGTGTATATGTATACTTTTCCCACACTGGACAGGTGAAACATAAATAGGTGGACATTTATCCATATTTTACCTAATAACTAAAGAAGGAAATTTATTTTCCCTTTGAATTTTATTACACATAAATGTTATTATTCTTCTGAGAATAGAGTTTATTATTGTTAAATATGTGTGTTGCACTGCTCCATTATAAAATAATCATTTTTACTGAGAAGTAGTGGAGATAAATCTGTTAATTCATCACGTAAGTCTCAGAATTTTTTATGAAATTGAAATAAGATTGGTTCGATAGTCTTAATAGTCTTTCCTGTCATGCTTGTATTAGTATCAATTTGGATTCTTGGGAAATGCTATAGTTTTTGCTTTAATTAGATATTTTAGATTAATATCAAAATCTAGTACCTTATAAGTATTATTTATTGATTTGATAATAGAGTACTTTGTTATTAGATCATTTATTCACTTGTGAATTTCACACATGATTTTGATACTATACAGGTAGCTTCTCAATCTCATAATCATTATGGTTCATTAATTTTTGGTATTTTTTAGCATGATTATTTCACTAATCATTGCAGAAGTGATAGTTCAGTTAAAGATAGTATTTTTTGTCTGAATGAGTCCTTGCAACTGAAAAATGAAAATAATCCATACTCTCATGCCCTTGCACCTTTACCATTCATTTGTATGATTTGTTACATTATGCCTTAGAATATGAGAATAAAAATTTTGGAGAATAGAGGTATGAATTTTTTTTATTATGTACACTGGAGGTTGTTGTGCTGTATTTGTTGTTCTTTGTAAATTGAAGTTAATATACACATGCAAATCTAGGGTGATTAGACTATTCTGAAGAATTTTGATAATTTAAAATGTTACTACTATTAGGCCTACCTTTTTTTTTCTCATTTGGTATTGTAGACCTCACATTTAATGAATTCTTCAATGACTCAAGTGATTACCATTTAATATAATCACTTTTTAAAGTTAAAAAATTGCTTGTAGTGAAGTGTTCATGCTTATAGCAAATTATTCATATAGTAAAATAAGGTAGTATAACAAATGTAAATCTCCCTTCAATCTCAGAAATACAGCATTTTGCCCAGATAAAATCATTACTTCTAATGTTTCACATTTTATCCTAGAAATAGTCTATGCCTCTCAACACATATGTGCATTTATCATTTTTTGTTTTTTATTTCTTGCTGTTTTCACCAGTTGTGCCCAAAGATTATTCCATAGGTGCTTGTGTTTATCTACTGTGTTCTTTTTACATACTGCATAGAATTTTGTGTAGGGACCTATCTTAATTAATCCCATATTAATGACTAGTTAGATTTGTTCTAGTCTTTTGCTAATTTAAGAAATGCTGTGGTAAACATGACTCTGTATATGCTGTTTTTCACAAATGTTCAACTATCCATAAGATAAATGCTGCAAGTAAAATTCCTGGATAAAATGCTCTGTAAATTTAAAAATTTTAAAGGTAGTATGAAATTACGTTCTGAATGAGTTTGCATCAATTTATAGTGTCACAAAGAATATATGTGAATATCTGCTTCCCAAAACCTTTGCCCATCTCAGAGGTAAAAATGTTAAATCACTGTTGTTATAATTTTTACTTTTTGAATACGAAGTGAAATTGAGCACATTTTCTTATATTCACAGGCAATTTTATTTTACTTTCATTTTTTAAAATAATTTTAACTCATATTCAGGGGGTACATGTGCAGATTTGTCACATAGGTATGTTGCATGATTCCAAGGTTTAGGATACAAATGATCCCATCACCTAGGTAGTGATGAGCATGGTAACTGACCATTAGTTTTTTAATCCTTGCCCTCTTCCCTCCCTCTGCTCTCTGTTATGCCCCAGTGTCTCTTGTTCCCATCTTTGTGTCCAAGAATACCCAGTATTTAGCTCCCACTTATAAGTGAGAACATGCAATATTTAATTTTCTGTTCCTGGTTTAATCGCTTAAGATAATGGCCTCCAGCTGCATCCATGTTCCTGCAAAGGATATGATTTTTAAAATTATGGCTGTATAGTATTCTGTGATATATATATACCACATTTTCTTAATCCAGTCCACTGTTGATGGGCACCTAGGTGGATTCCATGTCTTTGCTATTGTGAACAGTGCTGTGATGCACATAAAAGTACGTGTGTCTTTTGGGAGGAATGATTTATTTTCTTTTGGATTTAAACCTAGTAATGTGATTGCTGAGTAGAAAGATAATTCGTATTAAGTTATTTGAGAATTCTCTGAACTGCTTTCTACCACAGCTGAACTAATTTCCATTCTTACCAATAGTGTATAAGCGTTCTGTTTTCTCCACAGCCTTGCCAGCATCTGCTTGGGGTTTTTTGTTTTTGTTTTTGTTTTGGCTTTTTAGCAGTAGCCATTCTGATTGGTGTGATATGGTATCTTATTGTAGTTTTGATTTTCATTTCCCTGATAATTAGTGTTATGAGCATTTTTTATATGTTTGTCAGCCACTTGTATGTCTTTCCTTCTATTTTCTTTCTTTCTTTTTTTTTTGAGATAAAGTTTCACTCTTGTTGCCTAGGCTGGAAAGATGATCTCATCTCACTGCAACCTCCACCTCCCAGGTTCAAATGATTCTCCTGCCTCAGTTTCCAGAGTAGTTGAGATTATAGGCACCCACCACCATACCCAGCTAATTTTTGTATTTTTAGTAGAGACAGGGTTTCGTGTTGGCCAGGCTGGTCTCAAACTCCCGACCTCAGGTGATCCGCCCGCCTCAGCTTCCCAAAGTGCTAGGATTACAGGTGTGAGCCACCATACCCAGGCCATATGTTATCTTTTGAGAAGTATTGGTTCATGTCCTTTTCCCACTTTTTGATGGGATTATTTGTTTTTTAATTGTTGATTTCCTTAAGTTCCTTATAGGTTCTGGGTATTAGATCTTTGTCAGATGCATAGCTTGTGAATATTTTCCTCCATTGTGCAGCTTGTCTGTTTATCCTGTTGATAGTTTCTTTTGCTGTGTGGAAGCTCCTTGGTTTAATTAAGTCTCAATTTTAATTAGTCCCTTATCAATTTTTGTTGCAGTTGTTTTTGAGAACTTAGTCATAAGTTATATCCCAAGGCAGATGTCCAGAATGGTGTTTCCTAGGTTTTCTTATAGGATTTGTATAGTTTGAAGTCTTTAATTTAATTCTTTAATCCATTTTGAGTTACTTTTTGTGTATGGTGAAAGACAGGGTTCCAGTTTTGTTCTTCTGCATATGGCTATACAGCCATCAGAGCACCATTTATTGAATAGATGTCCTTTCTCCACTGCTTATTTTTGTTTGACTTGTCAAAATTGAGATATATGTAGGTGTGCAGCTTTATTTCTTGGTTCTCTTATTCTGTTCCATTGGTCTGTGTTTCTGTTTTTGTAACAGTACCATGCTATTTTGGTTACTGTAGCCTTGTAATATAGTTTGTGGTCAGGTAATATGATGCCTCTAGCTCTGTTCCTTTTGCTTAGGATTGCTTTGGCTATTTGGGCTCTTTTCTGATTCCATGTGAATTTTAGAATAGTTTTTTCTAAGCTTGTGAAAAATGACATTGGTAGTAGTTTGGTAGGAATAGTGTTGAATCTGTAAATTGCTTCGGACAGTATGGCCATTTTAATGATATTGACTTACCATTTATAAGCATGAAATGTTCTTTTATTTGTGTCATTGATTATTTCTTTTATCAGTGTTTTGTGGCTCTCCTTGTAGAGATCTTTCACCTTGTTGGTTAGATGTATACCTAGGTATTTCATTTTTTTGTGCCTACTGTAAATGATATTGCATTCTTGTTTTGGCTCTCATTTTGAGAGTTGTTAGTATGTAGAAATGATACTAGCTTTTGTACATCAAGTTTGTATTTTGAAACTTTACTGTAATTGTTGATCTGTTCCAGGAAGCTTTTGGTAGAGTCTTTAGTGTTTTCTAGGTATAGGATTATATTGTCTGTGAGGAGAGATGGTTTGACATCTTTTCCTATTCAGTTGTCTTTTATTCCTTTCTCTTTCCTGATTTATCTTCCAAGAAGTTCCAGTATTGTGTTTAATAGATACAGTGAGAGTGGGTATCCTTGTCTTATTCCAGTTCTCAAAGGGAGTGCTTCCAGGTTTTTTTTATTATTATTCAGTGTGATGTTGGTTGAGGGTTTGTCATAGATAGTTCTTATTATTTTGAAGTATGTCTATTGTCTTGTGGACTTTTATCATGAAGGGATGCTGGATCTTGTTGATGGCTTTTCCATGTCTATTGAGATGATCATATGTTTTTTTTTTTAATTCTGTTTTTGTGATGAATCACACTTACTGATTTGTGTATGTTGACAAACATTGCATTCCACAAATAAAGCCTACTTGATCTTGGCAGATTAAGTTTCTGATGTTCTGCTTGATTTGGTTTGCTAGTATTTTGTTGAGAATTTTTGTGTCTATGTTCATTAGGGATAGTGGCCTGTAAATTTCATGTTTTGTTGTATCTTTCCCAGGTTTTGGTATGAGGGTGATTCTGGCTTCATAGAAAGAGTGTGATTCTTTCATAGAAAGAGTTGTGAGGAGTCCCTCCTCCTCAGTGCTTTGAAGCAGTTCCAGTAGAACTGGTAACAGCTCTTCTTTTTAGGTCTGGTAGACTTCAGCTGTTAATCTGTCTGTTCTGGGGCTTCTTTTGGTCATTACATTTTTTTGTTACTGATTCAATTCTGGAACTCAATATTGGTTTGTTTCTTCCTGATTCAATCTTGGCGTGTTATGGTTTCCAGGAATTTATCTCCTCAAGATTTTGTAGTTGGTTTGCACAGAAGTATACATAACTGTTTCTGAGGATCTTTTGATTTTCTTCGGGATCATTTGTAATGTCACCTTTGTTGTTTTTGATTGTGTTAGTTTGGATGGTCTCTTTTATTCT